GGATTGGTCAGTGGAAAGGGTGGGGCAGATAGATGGGGAGGAAGATGGACACGTAGTGTCAGGTCAAGGAGGCAAGAGGGAGGAGGGGTTGGGCTGGGGTGGGGGCGTGGGATGGTGAGAGGTGGACGCAGGTAGGGAGTAGGGATTGGTTAGTGGGAAAGGTTGGACAGATAGGTAGGGAAGAAGGTGGACAAATATTGTCAGATCAAGGAGGCAGGATGAGAGGGAGGGTTGGACGTGGGATAAGGTTGGGGTTTGGGAGATTTTAAAACTGGTGAATTCGATGTTTAGGCCAACGGGTTGTAGGCTCCCGAGGTGGGATATGAGGTTTAGCTCCTCCAGTTTGCGTGTGGTGTCATAGTGACACTGGAGAAGGCCCAGGGTGAATGTCATCAAGGCAGTGGGAGGGGGAGTTAAAATGGTTAATAACCAGAAGGTGTTGTTGATTATAGAGTACAGAGCGCAGATGCTCCACAAATCGTTCCCTGAGTCCGCACTTGATCTCACCAATATAGAGGACACCACATCAGGAGCAACAGATACAGTAGACCAGGTTGGAGGATGTATAGGTGAACCCATGTTGGATATGGAAAGTTTGTTTTGGGCCTTGGATGAGGGTGAGAAGGGAGGTGTAGGAGCAGGTGTAGCACTTCCTGCGGTTGCAGGGAAATGAGCCGGGGGTGGTGGGACTACTGGAGAGTATGGAGCGGACGAAGGAGTTATGGAGAGAGCAGGCTCTACGAAAGGCAGATAGAGGTGGGGAGGGGAATATATCCTTGGTAGTGGGGTCGGATTGTAGGTGGTGAAAGTGGTGGAGAATGATACGTTGGATGCAGAAGCTAATGGGGTGGTATGTGAGGACCAGGCGAATTCTGTCTTTATTTTTGTTGGGGGGAGCAGAATTGAGGGTAGATGTGCAGGAAATGCAAAAGATGCGTTTGAGGGCATGTTTGATCACGAGAGAGGGGAAGTTGCAGTCCATCCATGAAATAGGAAGACATCTGGGATGTCCGAGAGTGGAATGCCCCATCTTGGGATCAGATGCGGCGAAGGCGGAGGAATTGGGAGTACAGAATCGCATTCTTGCAGGAGGGTGGGTGAGAAAAGGTGCAGTCCAGTTAACTGTGGGAGTCGGTGGGCTTGAAATAGATGTCGGTGCTGAGACGGTTACCAGAGATGGAGACAGAGAGGTCCAGGAAGGGGAGGGAGGTATCGGAAATGGTCCAGGTGAATTTGAGGTTAGGGTGAAAGGTATTGGTAAAGTTGATGAACTGTTCAAGCTCCTCATGGGAGCACGAGGCAGCGCTAATACAGTCATCGATGTAGTGGATGAAGAGGTGAGGGATGGTGCCAGTGTAACAGTGGAAGAGGGACTGTTCCACTTATCCTACAAAGAGGCAGGCATAGCTTGGACCCTCCAGCTGCCCATAGCCACCCCTTTAGTTTGTAGAAAGTTGGAGGAAAAGCTGTTCAGGGTAAGGACAAGTTCCATTAGGCAGATGAGGGTGTCAGTGGAGGGGGACTGGTTGGGCCTGCGGGAGAGGAAGAAGCAGAGGGCTTTTAGGCCATCTACGTGGGGGATACAAGTGTACAGGGACTGGATGTCCATGGTGAAGATGAGGTGTTGGAGGCCAGGGAATTGGAAGTCTTGGAGGAGGTAGAGGGCGTGGGTGGTGTCCGAACTTGGGGAGTTCCTGGACCCGGGGGGGAAAAGACAGAGTCAAGGTAAGCGGAGATAAGTTCGGTGGGGCAGGAGCAGGCAGAGACAGCAGGTCGACCGGGGCAGTCGGGTTTGTGGATTTTGGGAAAGAGATAGAAACAAGTGGCGCTGGGCTGGGGAATGATGAGGTTGGAGGCTGTGGATGGAAGATCTCCCAAGGTGATGAGGTTGTGAATGGTCTGAGAGATGACAGTTTGGTGGTCAGGGATGGGGTCATAATTGAGGGGATGGTAGGAGGAAGTGTCAGAGAGTTGGCGTCTGGCCTCAGCGATGTAAAGGTCAGCGGGCCAGACCACTACCACGCCTACCACCCTTATCTGTGGGTTTGTTGGTGAGGTTTGGGTTGGAGCGGAGGGAGCGGAGGGCTGCATGTTCTGTGGAGGAGAGGTTGGAGTGAGTGAGACGGATGGAGAGGTTGAAGTGATCGATGTCACGATGGCAGTTGGAGTTGAAGAGGTTGAGGGAGGATAGGAGGCCATGGGGTGGTGTCCAGGAGGATGGATTGTGTTGGAGGCAGGAAAAGTAGTCGGTAGAGGGTGGATTAGACTCTCTGTCAAAGAAATAGGCGTGGAGATAGAGGCAGCAGAAAAAGCATTCAACATCCAGATGTGTATTGAATCCGTTGATGTGTGGGCACAGAGGAATGAAGGGCAGTCCTTTGCTTAGCACTGATCATTCGTCCTCAGTGAGGCGTTGGTCTGGGGGGATGGTGAAGACCTGGTAGGACTTGGGGCTGGAGTTGGGTGTAGAGCTGGAGCTGGGAGTGGGTTTGGAGACTGTCTCAGCAGTAAGTGTGTGTATGGAGATAGTAACATAGGGGGAGGCGGAAGTGGCATTGTCAATGTTGGTGGCGAAAGTGGTGTTGGCGTCGGCAGTGGCATAGTCGGCGGCGTCGGTGACCGCATGGTTAATGGCACTGGGAAAATTAAGAATGAGGTCCTGGATAGGGTTAGTGTCTAGTGTGGTGGAGGAGGTCTGTGTTTGGAGGTCAGCCTGAGCAAGTTTGGTGTACTAATATATTTTTGGTCCCACAGTCTTTTCCTGAAGTAATCTCAGAATGAGCAACTTCCAGTCCATGAGATATCTGATTTGAATGCCAGGATCACCATCATGGTGAGCCTGCTGGAGAAAACCATATTGAAGACGATTAGAACTAGCACGCAGTCCTATTTAATTCCATATGTGACTGGGAATGGGTCAGAACACTCACAAAAAGTAACGTTATAAAGGACACAAGCAAATTAGCCCTGGATAGGTCAATTAATGCGTTGTAGAGGGTCCAAATTCTGCTCATGGCACCTCTCCTGAAACTAGATATAAACATGTCTCTGACATTTTCTGAAACCACACCGACTCTTTGGCAGCAGATCCTTGCCAAGGTATGTACTAAATAAATCAGAGGGATTCTGATGAAGATTTTGCCAGTGATGAAGAAGAGTCAAATTCCTCAATAATAGTTGCAAGATTGTACAGATGGTCCTTTGCATTCTGACCGGGTGGTTCCTCACTTGCACATATATGAATAAGGTTTGGCATACTTCCTAACAAATGATCTCCAAGCCTTCAACTGATTGTCCAGTTGGAGAGACACCAGGACACAATGGGCACGGAAACATGGGGACTATGAGAGGGGATTAGGGTCTCCATCCCATCTGGAAGCTCAGGACTGCAGTCATACTGGGAAAAGGCCATCCACCTGTTTGGTTTGTGGGAAAGGATTTGTGTGGTTATTCTACATTAAGACACACCCACTTGTTCATTCCGCTAACAACTAGTAGCACCTGGAACTTTGCTGATACGTGGGAGTTTGCTTGTATTTGTCATTTCTAACAGCCTGTGAGGATCTTTGAGAGAAGTTTTGATTGATCCAGTGACATCCTTGTTGGACACATCTTCATTAAGGAATGAAGGGTTGATTGAGTGCTCTGCCAAGCTTTCTGGAATTTGTGGTTTTCCTGTGAGCTGGGTTTACCCTCCCACTCTAAGGATTGGTGATAAACCAGTAGACTGAGACCAGTTGGCAGATTTCAAAACATCATTGAATCTCTTCCAAGTCTTTGGCTCCACAGATGACTGAAGCCCATTTTATTTTCAGATTCAGCCAAGAGTCTTGCATCTCTTGGAGCTTGCTCCACATGGTCATTTGGAGGTTTCGATAGGTACTGTAATGAAAATGATGACTTGTTACTGAGTCTCTGCAGTGAACCTCACGTCCATGAAGTTTGGACTCAGAGGCACCATTCATTCAATGAGTAAGCACATCTGAGCAGAAGCAAAAGATTTGCAGATGCTAGGAAACTGAAATCGAAAATATAATAAAAAACAGAACTAGCAAAACCTTGGAAACACAGAAAAAAATTGACAAAACAAAGAACTGTGGAAGTTGGAAATCTAAAATGAAGAAAATGTGCTGGAGAAACTCAGCAAGTCTGGTTGCATCTGCCAGCCTTGGGCTGTGTGGAATTTGTACATTCTCCCTGTGTCTGCGTGGGTTTCCTCCGGGTGCTCCGTTTTGCTCCCACAGTCTGGAGGTGTGCAGGTTAGGTGGACTGGCCACGGGAAATAGCCCATAACGTACAGGGATGTGCAGACCCGATGGACTGAATGGCCTCTATCCACACTGTAGGGATTCTATGATTACATTTAGAGAAAGAGAGTTAATTTTGGGTCACTGGACTCCACACACTAACTCTGTTTTTTCTCCACAGAGAAACAAGAATTAAGATTTCAGAAACAAAAACAGGAATTGTTAGAGAAACTCAGTCGGTCAGGCAGCATCGGTAGAGAGAAAGCAGAGTTAATATTTCTGGTTCAATGACCTTTCTTCTGAAAGCAGTTAAGGTTTCAGGTTGGTAAGTTTTCACATTGCAAAAATTGTGTTCCTCCTCTTCAGTGGCCAAGAGAGATTTACCCCTTCCCATTTCACCCAACCCCCAAAAATGTCTCAAAACAACAGAGGGTAGACATGATGTGGAGGTGCTGATGTTGGACTGGGGTGGACAAGGTCAGAAATCACATGACATCAGGTTATAGTCCAACAGATTTATTTGAAAACACAAGCTTTCGGAGTCTTACTCCTTCAGGTGTTAGTGAGAGACGTTGCATCAGACACAGAATTTATAAGTAAAAGATCAAAGGGTCACACAGCTGATGAGGATATATTAAACAAACTGAAAATGCTGTTAAATCTTTAATCAGTTAGAAAGTTTTAATTGATTAATATGTATATGTAAATCCCCGAATTCCTTTCAAGTCACTGTCCGGAGAGAACTAAAGGTTTTATCAGTGTTAACAGGGTAGGAGGAAACTATCTGCAGATTCAGGACACTAATAGCTCTGTTCCAGATTATCCACTAGGGGACTGACCTTCACTTTGCACAACTTCAACAAACTTTTCCCGTTCAGCTGGTCGTCACATCCGTTTTTAAAGTGAAGTTTGGGGAAGTCCATTCTGGGACGGTGGATGAGTGTCGGTCTTAAACGTTTCATCCCGGCCGGTGTGCGATTTACTTTTCATTAGCTTGTGGTTCGAGGAGAAAAGAAATCACAGTGGGTGAAATTTCTTTTAAGAGACCTGAAGTCTCCAAACAAACTCTAAAGCCGCGATGTCAAGCTGAAATAGACAAACTACATGAGGAGGGGGTTTTTGTGTTGGTCAAGTGAAAGAGGCTGTAAATTTACTTTTTGTTTTTTTTTGGGAGGGAGGGGAGCAGGCAAGCGAAATGAAGTTACTTGCAACTTTCCTGTTACTGTCTGCATTCGGGTTGTGCCAAGGCGAAAACCTTTTATTGCCTCTGAAGATTTCCACTTACAACGGCTCAGGAGAGGTGCTCATAGACAAACGGAGCTCACTGTTGGGCGGTATCTCGTTCGCCTCTCAGTCTGCAGGGGCTGTGAGCTTCTTCAATATGCTCAACAATCTGAAAGGAGATGTAGGGAGAGGCTACTATCTGGAAGTGTTGATCGGGACGCCTGTACAAAAGGTGAGAAATGGTCATTTAAAAAAAAATTAAAATGACGGAAAAAAGTTGACTTGAACATGTTTTTTTTTAATAAAGGGACATTTTGCTCTCCAAGTGCTCTATAAGGAACCGTTTACGATATAAAGTGGCCTTAAGTCTTGACATGTTTGAAATCCTCTGCAACTCTTATTGGGTGGTGTCCAATTTATGGCCCTCTCTCTTAGCCGTCCACTCCCCAGCTTTGTATATTTTTTTTGGACCCAGATGCTGCGTTGCAACAACTGAGTCTGAGGGAATTATGACACACGATGCGTTCTTGCTTTAAGTCCTGTCTAAGAATGTTTGTTTGCTGCTCAGTGGTACGGGACAGCCGCTTATCAGCTGTTGCGAATTGCTGGCTGTTTAGCACCAATTCGATAGACGGCAATATATGCCCTTAGACCTTCGCCCACGCCCCCCTCCCTTCATTTCTGTGGATTGCCTGAGGTTTGCTGTGTTGTGCCTTTAAACTCACCACAAAAAGTTATGATGGGCCATTAATAGCTGTGTTTTTGAAAATTTAATTACAGGGTTGCACTAACCGTCAGTCGCTAATTAGCCCAGCAGTTAAACACATTGAATGTGTTAAGATGGTGAATTATTTCGGGAGATGTCAAAAAAAAGACTATTAAGTGGCAACCTTCCTTAAGCATGTGCTCACCTCAATTCAAACTTTCTTTCCTTCACTTTCATTTCTGTTTCTGTGCCTGATTTCACAGTGAACAGCAGACACTGTAATTTGCCCTCTTTCCAATTCTCCATCTGTCTATAAAGATTTGAGAAATAATTGTGTTCGTTAAGGAAGAGTGATGCACTTTTAGCCCTCTGACCATTCTCCCAGGTGATGTTAAGCAATCAGACTTCCAGCAACGTTTTGAGGTTAAAACAGACTTAGAAAGCACATATCTGCATTTTCTTAAAATAAAAGCCTGTTTAACTGAGTGCACTTCACTTTTCAAAGTATGGTCAAATATTTTTCCTTTGTTTGTTGGTTTGTTCTACTTTTGGATTTGTGTGGTGCTGAGAGGTTGGAAAGAGTTTTTTTTTGAGGATATTCACCTCCAATGATGCATGAGCTTGAAACTTAAGAAATGCAAGATCAGTTTGCTCTGGATCGATTGTTGAGAGCTTTGATTTAGATCTAAAATGTAGGTCTGGAGACTCAATTAATCAGTGTAGCCATTAATGGAGACTTAGACACTCCCTTGCATATGAAATTCAGCCCTCTCATTCCCTTGAAAGGCTCTCAGACATCTTGATTCACTTGCCCTGCTGTGTTAACTTAGGAGTGGAGGTAGTGGAAATAGAGTCGTAGAATCAGTCGAACTCATCCATGCCCACCAGATATTCTGCATGAATCTAGTCCCATTTGCCAGCATTTGGCCCATATCCCTCTAAATCCTTCTTATTCATGTACCCATCCAGATGCCTTTTACATGTTGTAATTGTACCAGCCTCCACCACTTCCTCTGGCAGGTCATTCCATACACATGCCACACACTGTGAGAAAAAGTTGCCCCTTAGGTCCCTTTTTATATCTCTTCCATCTCACCTTAAACCTCTGCCCTCTAGTTTTGGACTCTCCTACCCTGAGGTAAAGACCTTACCTATTCACCCTATCCATGCTTGCATGATTTTATAAACTTCTATCAGGTCACCCCTCAGCCTCTGATGTTCCAGGGAAAGTAGCCTCTGCCTATTTAGCCTCTGCCTACAGCTCAAAACATCCAACCTTGGCAATATGCTTGCAAATCTTTTCTGACCCCTTTCAAATTTAGCAACCATCTTTCCTACGACAGGGACAGCAGAATTGAATGCAATATTCCAAAACTGGGCTCACCAATGTCCTATACAGCCATAACATGATATGTCAAACACAGGCCAATGTTCATAGAATCCCTACGGTGTGGAAACAGGCCCTTTGGCCAAACAAGTCCACACTGGCCCTCTGAACAACAACCCACCCAGATCCTTTCCCTGTAATCCTGCATTTCCCATGGCTAACGCACCTAATCTACACGACGCTGAACACTATGGGCAATTTAGCATGGCCAATCTACCTAGCCTGCACATCTTTGTTCTGTGGAAGGAAACTGGAGCACCTGGAGGAAACGCATGCAGACATGGGAATAATGTGCAAACTCCACACAGACAGTTGCCTGAGGGTGGAAATGAACCCGGGTCCCTCGCGCTGTGAGGCAGCAGTGCTAACCGCTGAGCCACCATGCCGCCTGTTCTGGATACATGCTTCAAATCCCACCATGGAATGAAGTCAAGAAAAACATTGTGGAATAAAAAACTAGTCTAATGACAACCACGTCAATTTAGATGTAAAAACCCACCTGATTCACTAATTATTTTAGGGAAGGAAATCTGCCAATCTGACCTGGTGTGGCCTACATGTGACTCCACACCCACAGCAATGTGATTGACTCTTAACTGCCCAGTTAGAGCTGGGCAATAGTAATGCCCACATTCCATCCATGAATTTTTAAAAAATTTCCTCTGTTCTTTGTGTATCACTAAGACAATGGTTAGCGATGCCCATATGTGAATGATTCTTCTTCCGAAGAAAAACAGACTCAAAATCCTTCCATTTAAGATCAGCAACATCTTAATGAATTGGAGTAGACATTCTAACCTCCAGGCAGCTGTTTGTTGTAGTAACGAATGAACAGTGTGTTATTTTTTTAATCATATTTGTTGCCAGTTTGACAAATTTAACATACACTCAGTTAATATTGGTAACATTCTTCTCTTGTGAGCAATGTTACAGCAATCACATTTTCTGGCTATGTTGTACATTATTCCAATGCATGGAGAGATGAGAAAGGAAAAGTTCTTGCTCTCCAAAAATAGACTGTTGCTAGAACATATACCAAATTTTGTGTTTTGGCAGTAGTGTGAAATAGAATGGCAAATATAGCCCTCTTGAAAAATCCTCCTTTCTAACATTTGGGGGCTCAGGCCAAAATTGGCAGACGAGTCTGAGACCAGTCAAGCAACAGCTATGACGTTTATCTGTAAGGTATGATTCTGAGTATTACTGTCTCCATCACCACCATCAACATCCCTGGGTATAAGGCCCATTGGCAGGACAGAGCCAGCAGAGGTGGAGGCGCAGTGGTATACAGTTGGGAGGGAGTTCCCCTGGGATCCTCAACATTGACTCTGGAATTGATGTAGTCTCATGGCATCAAGAAAACATAGCCAAAGAAATTTCCTGCTGATTAGTATATACTGTCCTCCCTCTGTTGATGAATAAGTGCTCCTCCATGTTCAAACATGTTTAGAGGAAGTGCTGATGGCGGAAAGGGTATAGAATGTACTCTGGGTGAGCGATGTCAATATCCTCCAGTGCTGGGTAGCTGGTAGATCGAGCTGGTTGGGTCCCATAGGACACTGCTGCTAGACTGGGTCTGCAGCAAGTGGTGAGGGAACCATGAGGGAAAAGCATAATTCACCTCATCCTTACCAATCTGCCTGCTGCACATTCATCTGTCCATAACAGAAATAGTAACCATAGTGACCATTGTACAGTCCTTGTGGAGACAAAATCCTACCTTCACAGTGATAATACCACACAATATGATATAAGTATTATCACTATGGTATATGGGACAAAGTTTGAACAGATCTAACACCTCAGATTGGACATCCACGAGATGCTGTGGGCCATTAGCAGCAGCAGAATTATACTCCGACACAATCTGCAATCTCATTGCCCAGATATCCCCCACCCTACCATTACCATCAATCCTGGTTCAATGGAGAATTCAGGAGAGCATGCCAGGGGAACACCAGACGTACCTAAAAATGAGGTATCAATATGGTGAGGCTACAAAACAGGACTGCTTGCATGCCAAACAGCAAGTGATAGAGCTCAGCAATCCTCCGATCAATTGATCAGGTCTAATCACTTTGGTCGTGCCACATTCAGTTGTAATTAGTGATGGACAATTAAACAACTCACTTGAGCTGACTAGCTGAATTCTATAGGTGAGGTGGGTATGATAATCCTTGAAATCATTTGACAGTGTTGCATGAAGGAGCCCTTGCAAAACTGGAATCGATGGGAATTCCAGGGTAAAACTCTTCATTTGCTGAGGTCATACCTACCACAAAAGATGAGAGTGGTTGTTGGAGGTCAGCGATCTCAGCTCCTGGACATTCCTACAGGAGTTCCTCAGGTTAATGTCCTAGGCCCAACCATCTTCAATGACCTTACTCCATCATAAGGTCAGAAGTGGGCATTGCGCAATCATCAGCAAACATGTTCAGCACCATTTGCAACGACTCAGGTACTAAAGCAGTCCGTGTTCAAATCAATATCCAGTCTTGGCCTGAAAACTGGCAAGTAACAATCACACCACACAAATGCTAGACAATAACCACATTCCCCTGACTTTCAATGTTGATACCAATAATGAATTCCCCATGATCAACATTCAATAACCTTAACCCTGACCATTGACCAGAAACTGAACTGGACTTGCATATGTGAATACAGTGGCTACAAGAGCTGGTCAGAGGCTAGGAATGCTGCAGCGAGTAACTCAGTTCCTGACTCCCCAAAGCTCGTCCCTGGTGTACAAAGCACAAGTCAGGAGTGTATTGGAGTACTCCGCTCTTGCCTGGATGAGTGCAGCTCCAACAACGCTTTCAATACCGGCCAGGACGAAGCAGCCCAGTTGATTGTGGTGCTATTCAGTGCCCACCACTGACGCTCATTAGCAGCAGTATGTACTGTCTGTAAGGTACACTGCAGAAATTCACTGAGGCTCCTTTAAACAGCACCTTCCAAACCCATGACCATTACTATCTCGGAGAGCAAGGACAGCAGATATGTGGGAGCGCCATCAATTGCAAGCTGCCCTCCAAGACAGTCACCACCCTGACCTGGAAATATATCATTATTCTTTCACTATGACTGGGTCAGAATCTTAGAATTTCCTCCCAAATGTCAGTGTGGGTCTCCCTAT